AAAAAATGGCCTTGCTGAACATAGAGGACAAGGAGGACTACTGAGAACTCAAGAACAATGGCAATGGGTTTTTTATTCTACTGCATATATTGGCTTTGTGGGAGCCTAGGCAGTTTGGTTGCTCACCTTACTAGACCTGAATGGAGGTGGGTGGTCCTTGGACTTCCCACAGGGCAGGGAACCTCGATTGCTCTTTGGGCTGAAGAGGGAGGGGGAATTGATTGGGAGAGGGGGAGGGAAATGGGAGGCGGTGGTGGGGAAGAGACAAAAATCTTTAATAAATGAATAACAAAAAAAGAACCAGAGGGACGCATCACACCAAGAGAACAAGGCTTTCTAAATCAACATGAAAAAAAAAATTTCAAAGCCATAGGCAGTTCAATCTCATTAAACTGTGCATTGTAGCTCCCATTTCTTTGTTTCACCAAAGTAATAAACTCTTTGAAAGATTCTTTTTCACCATAAAAACCCTATATATCTATATAGCATAATGCATACTTTTTAAAATACAAATTTAAAAGATTTTAAAAACTAAATATAAAAAAAGAACCTCTATGTTTCCCTTAAATGCTATGCAAAGTCAGCTGGTGAAAACATGGTTGTGTTCAAGTGATGGCACACAATGATACTTCCTTCATCAATCTTTAGTTTTCTTTGAAACTCTGAGTGAAATTTTACACAATGCAAAGTTCTTTTTAAAATAGATAGTTGTCTGAATATAAAAAAATAAGAAATAGCGATATCACAAAGCCATAGGACTTTTAATCAGTTCCTTACACTTTCATTATATTTTTGGCAGAAAAAAAACATTATTTAGGCATGAAAGAAATCTGTTTAATTTGCTAAGATTGGCTATTTTTTAGCATTTGTGATTTAGAAGTTTCTAAAGAAAGAAATTAATACAAATACATTTATTTGACACATTCTTCAAACTGGAATATGCAGCATTAGCATTGGTACTAAGGACCCATGATTTCCTGGGTCCTCAAGTACCCAGTCAAATAAGGAGACTTTCGTTAGTCAATTCAAAAGGAAATTCACAGGAAACTGCAGTTGTAATGATTACTGTTAATGAGAAGTGTGTGATGCTGTAAGAGAGAACAATGGGGCATTTAATAAGATTTTGGGGCATTACTAAATACTTTCTGATGAAATATGGTCAGTTTAATTAAAAGGCTGAAAGAACTAAATTTGGAACAATAACAATTAAAGCTTACCTGGGACCACAAAGGTATGCATTTTTGAAATTCATACAATTATACAAATTGATATCATGTGAGGCTTTTAAACCATAACATATAAAAATAATATACTTCTCTACCTATAACACTTTACATGTAATTAAGAAGTCATAGCAGATTTTGGAAGAGTAATGTTTTGAACCAATAATTATATTGAATTATTTTGAAAAAGAATAATAGATATTATGCTACATATGAGTGAAAGTTTGTCATGAAAATATTAAAATAGAAAACCTACTATTTCTGATGTTAATATGAGCCACTGACATCAACATAGTTCTGATGGAGGTGGGTCTTGTAATAATAAAGAAACTGCCTCGGCCCTCATAAGACAGAAAATTAGGTAGGCGGAGTAGACAGAGGAGAATGCTGGGAAAAAGAAGCTGAGTGAGTGAGTCGTCATGATGCTCCCACTCCAGACAGACGCAGGTTAAGATCCTCTCTGGTAAGCCAGCTCATGGGCTACACAGAATATTAGAAATGGGTTAGAACAATATGTAAGAGCTAGCCAATAAGAAGCTGGAACTAGCCGGGCCAGGCAGTGTTTGAAAGAATACAGTTTCCGTGTAATTATTTCGGGCATAAGCTAGCCATGCGGGCGGCCGGGTGCCAGGGGACGCAGCCCGGCTGCTCCTATTTCAACATAGTCCCAATTCTAGTAGGTCCACAGACCTATACATGGCCCTCAGATATACCATGTGTTGGGATGTCACTATGACCTCAGGTGGCAGCACTGATCCCTAGGATCAATACTTCCCACCTAAGGCTATGCTGATTTCAGAGGCTATGTTGAGCTGTCCCCACTCCATGCTGGACCTGGGAAAGCCTGCCTGCCCTATGTTAGCCAGCCAGCCAGCAAGCCAGCAATCACTGGAGAGCTTGTCCCAGTGGTGAGCGAGAAGAGCCAACTCCACATATCGTGGGGGTAGTGTCTCAGTGGAGGTTTAAGCTTGCTAACCCAGTTACCACCTAGGCACACATCAGTGCTTTTAGTTTGCCCACTCAACATCCATCCCATCTATGACCAACTGGAACATGTGAAGTGACCATTCCTGCTGAACTACATCCAGAGACTCTCCATGACTCAGGACAACAAAAATACATGAGTGATGTGGGATTCCTCTCTGTATGCTGTGAATACCATTGGTTAGTAAAGAAACTGCTTTGGCAGGGTAAAACAGAGCTAGGCATGGGGGTGGGTGGTAGACACCAAAACTGAATGCTGGGAGAAAGAAGGTGAAGTCAGAGAATTACCATATAGCCTGCTGCAGGAGATAGATGCACCAGAACCTTGGGGATATATCATAAGCCACATGGTAAAATATAAAATAATAGAAATGGGTTAATTTAAGATGTAAGAGTTAGCTAAAAAATAAGCTTAAATCACTGGCCAAACAGTACTGCAATTAGTATATTTTCTGGGTGATTATTTCAGGTATGAACATTGGGGAAACAAACAAGCAGCCTCTGCCAACAGAATATCACACGAACATGAGCTGACTACACCCACATAAAACCCGAGGAAGCTTGGAAAGGAATTCTAGACACAAAAGAACAGAGTTAAGTATGGCCTCTTGGTAGCTGGCATTTTTTTTATGGGTTCTGCTTGCTGGCAGTGAGCAGGAGCATCATGCCTCCTTTAAGAGACGGCTTACTGAGTCAGCATAAGAAAAGGCATAAATGGCAGCTTCCTGGTTTGTCCTGGCAGCATGAACTCTGACTCTTTCAGGAGGCCAAGTACTTAAAAGGATTTATGAGCAGCATTCCACTAGTTGCTTAATGGTGACATAGATCCACTGTGACCCTGGAGCTGGGGCAGCATGCCTAGCTCTCAGAGGCAGCAAACATGCCTTTACCTTGTTGGAGTGGATGGAGCCAACAGGAGGGACAGGAATTGGTCCTAGCCATGCCTGCTTGGCATTCTAAGAAGCCGTCCTGGTCAGAAAAGGATTACAGATACACAATAAAAACAAATTCAGATGGAAAAGAACTCTAAATGGGTCATCATGTTGGATAAATGTACATGGGATTAAGAGAGAGAAGAAAGAGAATATAGAAAAAATAAAACAAAGTCTTTAAAGAGGCAGAGTGCAGACAGTCATAGATCAAAAAAGTAAAGAAAAATAATCCATGTAAAGATAGAAAATTCACAGAGAATCTGGATTATGTATATTATTGTGTTTTCTTTGAATTTTTTTTTTTTTTTTACTACAGAGAGATATTTGATTTTGAGGACTGCTAAACTAAACCAACATATATACTTTAAAGGTATCTTGACTTCAAAATTTGGGTCTAAGGATGTGTTGCTTTGGAAAAAAAGTTCTGCTTTTGTTTCTACAAAGGATGAGAACCTGTGGATTCCATTCAGGCTAATGTAGTTTGACAGACCAAGACCACCCGAAAACTCTCTATGAACACCCCAAAATTACCTCACCCAACAAAAAGCAGGAATCAGTTTGGAGATAAATACACCCAATTTCCCAAATATTGTTATAAATGTTTGTTTACATTTAAAGGAGGATATGCTATAGAAATGAATACATTGCATTGATATGGATCTTGATTTATTGATACAAATTTGAGGTCAATTTTGATATATGTATATTTCTGCTCTTGATTAAGGTATTGCTTTGTGCAGCTCATTTAAAATGTAATGTATAATTAAGAAATACAGGTTAATAGATAGTCATCTCTAATAGTCAAGCTTGAAGTAATGTTAGTTAGGTTTTCTAGTTTACAGAGATATATTTCAGATGGATAGGTATTCTTCAATCCTACCAAAGAGTAACAGAATATGGCATTTAAAATGTTTTAAGAACTTAAAACTTTTCATGACAATGAGACTCAACTCTTCCTGGCAGCACCAATCTACTTCAAGAGGATGATGGACATTGAAAAGGGTCCTTATGGAGTTGGTTTGCCATTTGGGCAAGAAACTGCTCTTGACTGGATTGCTGATGTTATGCTGTATGAACTGGACATGAAGGACCCACAGAAAAATTCCTGCTGAACTTGACTAAAGAAGATGAGATTGTCCTTCAGTGTTCCTGCTTCATAAAAGAGTCTGCCAGACATTCTTCAGGACACATAAGAAAGTGACTGACATACTACCAATATAGGTGGAACTATCTGAAATTTCCTGCTTCATGAAAATGTCTGGGAGATACTTTGAATCTGTAGGATGAGAATGGGTATGCCAATGTTACAGAAGAACTTTGGGTGACTGTGTAGGCGGTAAGATGTCTCTGTCAATTCTAGAGTTTTGGAAGTTGCTTGAAATGCACTTTCTGTTAACTTAGGTAATATTATACCCTTCTGTAGTCTTTGATGGAGTTGAAAAAATAGCTATAGTTATAGTTTTTCTTATTTATGATAAAAGATAAAGTAGATATAAATATTGTAACTGTATTTCTTGCCTGGTACCTGTTCTGTTATATGTAATTTTATATTTTACAGTTAAAACCTTCTTTTTTCATTTAGACATAAAAGGGAAAGTGATGTGAATTCTCCTCTATATGCTGTGAATGCCATTAGTTAATAAAGAAAAATTTTTGGCCTGTGACAGGGCAGAATAGAGTTAGACAGGGAAGACTAAACTCGTTTCTGGGAGAAAGAAGGCAGAGTCAGAGTCACCATGTAGCTGCTGCAGGAGCCAGACATGCCGGAAACTTTCCAGTAAACCACAAGCCTCGTGGTAAAATATAAAATAATAGAAATGATCAATTTAAGATGTAATATCTGGCTAGAAATATGCTTAAGCTATTGGCCAAAGAGTATTACAATTAATATATTTTCTGTGTGATTATTTCAGGTCTGAGTGATGGAGAAATGAACAAGCAGTCTCTGACTACAGATGAGGCATCATGGTGAGGATCCAGTATTGATGGTATAGCAGAAGCCAGAGACTAACTTCTTATTGAAATGTTTTGTCTGAGTGAAAGGGTACACTGTGTGCCACACCACAGCTCCCAATGTTTTTTAAGTTGAAAAAAGAAGTGACAGATAGGTGAGAAAGATGGCAGAGCAAAATGATTTCTTTTAAATTTCTATCTTTTTTATTTTTTATTTATTTTATTTTTTTTATTAAGAATAAGAAAAAAAGTTTCCGCCTCCTCCCAGCCCCCCATTTCCCTCCTCCTCCCCCC